CTCGATGCGCTGATGGCTCCCTGGTCCCCACCCCACCGAACCGATGCCAGATAGCGTGCGTGTGCGTGCGTGTTACGGGCCGAATGTTCGTGCCCCGCCCCCGAGTTCATGTGTGGAAGCCCTAACCCCCGCTGTGATGGTATTCGGAAGTGAGGCCTTTGGGAGGTAATGAGGTCATGAGGGTGGGGCCCCAGGGTGGGATCAGCACCCCTGTAAGAACGGGAAGAGAGACCACAGCCTCCTGTCTGCATCATGTGAGGACACAGCAAGAGGGCAGATGTCTGCCAGCCCGGAAGAGGGCTCTCACCAGACACCAAAGCAGCCAGCACCTTGATCTTGGGACTCTCGGGCACCCAGAACCGGGAGAAACAGATTGTTTAGGCCACCCAGTCTGGGGTATTTCGTTACCGCACCCGGGGCTGACTGAGACAGGGAGGCACAAGCTGAAACGGACAACCAGCTTTGAGTTCCAAGTCTGATACTTCTGTGTCCATAGCAAGACCATCCCCTCGAAAGCCTGGCTTCGCTGGGGAAGAAAACATTTAAAATCATAAAAGCCCATTCTCCCATACGTTCCCTCTGGCAGTACACGCAGTCCTGGGGGTCTCAGGATTCTTTCTCTCTGGCTTGGCCTGGAGCGCCAGGAACTAATGCCTCTGGCTGAAGCCTCAGCTGGGGACACCCTGATGGCAGTGGGGGGGGGGGGGACAGATGGTGGCCAGGGTGACTCTGAGGCTTGCTCTGTGCTGTCCCCAGAGCCCCCACTGCAGCTCACCTGCTCAGTACCGCACCCTGTTCTGGCTCCCTTCCCTTCCCTGTCCCACACATGTCCCCTCCTGCTGGTCCTTGGCCTCACCTCCCTAATAAAGGATTCGAATCAAAATCCTCGTCTCAGGCTCTGCTTCTGGGGGAAATGCTGAAGCATTGGCCTCCAAGTCCAAGATGGCCCAGCTGGTGAGAGTCCCGCGGTGCAGAAAGGCGGCAGGAGGGGGTGGCAGGCTGGGTTACCCACAGGTGGCGGGGCGGGGTGGGGGGGGGGAAGCAAGCGACCTGTCCTCAGCCTGAAATTCTCAACCAGCGGCTGCACGGATCCCGGCTGGGAGGTGGGTCCAGTGCACCTGCCTCCTGACAACAGGCCCCCACCTGTGCCTGCTCGTCAGGGGTGAAGCAACAGCGCTTTTCCTTCTAGGGCAAGGGCAGGGGACAAAGGCGTGCGGCCCACCTGGGCCCCAGACCCCGCCCAGGCCCCCTGCTGCCCTCATGCCCAGACCAGTCGGTTCTTTGCCTCCTGTTCCATCTTGAACCCACTGCCATCTGGCTGGTCCCCCACGGCTCGGCCCCCCTCCTCTTGTCAAGGTCACCGGACGGCCCCTCTGGGCCTAAATGCAAGGTCACTTCTCTCCACGGCACTGGACACAGAAGATGGCTCCCTCTTCCTTCTGACACTCTCCACACAGCTTCCAGGACGGCAAGCCTTCCTGGTTCTCCGCCTCCCCCGGCTCCCTGGCCCCTCCTGTCCACCTCTCAAACCTCCAACCCTGGCCTCTTCCCCGCGCTCAGGCCCCCACACCTCCCTGCCCTCCTCTGCGCCCTGGAGATCTCCCTGCTCACCCCTGTCTCTCATGCGGACCTCTCCCTAGAGCTCCAAACTCCCAGTCACTGTCCTGCCTGCCCAAGATGCTCGGCGACAACTCAGTATAACGCCCCAAACCCCCTTCCCAGTCTTCCCGGGAAAAGCCCGCCCCTCCCACACCTCCTGGCAACTCTTTCGAGCGTCCCTGATGCCCCTTCTGTCCCCACCCACCCAGCTGCACACCACACAGGATCTGACACCTCCTCGCGCCTCCACCGTGGCCACTGGGTCACTGCCACGGCCCCCTCGGTGTGTGCTCTCCGGACTCCCACACTTCTGCCCTTGCCCTGGATGGATCAGCCTCAACCCAGCAGCCGAAAGTGATCGTTTGAAAGCACATGACAGATGCTGTCACTCTTCTTCTCGAAACCCTCCCACGACCTCCCGTGTCACAGAGGAAAAGGCCAAGTCCCTCCGTGATCTGACCTGGTAACGCGTGGCGATCCCCCCCCCCCGCCCCCCCCCCCCCGCAGCCGCCCACTCCCTCCGCCCCAGCCACACTCCTGCCTCGGCCCCTGGCACTTGCCGTGCCCTCTGCCCAGAATGTTCTATGGCCTGATGTCTGCTGCTCCTTCAGGTCTTGGCCCAGATGTCACCCAGACAACCCTGCTTTTGACATCACAAGCCCCCTCTGCAGCCTCTCTACCTCCCGGCGTCTGTGTTCTGTCCAGAGCACAAACACCACGTGACGTGTTGTCCTTACTTACCTGTCAGTGCCCTCTGTGCCCATCAGCAAAATGGGGGCCGGGCCGTGTGCAGAGTTCACCCCACTCTACCCAAGTGCCTACCTGGATCCGGGTCCTGGCACACAGTAGGCTTTCCATAAATGTGGAATGACTGACAATTCAATTCCCCTGGCCTGGACTGTTCCTTTCTCCTCTCTGAGGCACAGAGAGGTTAAGGTGCTCGCCTGACATCACACAGCTGGTGAGCGGGGAAAGCATCGTTGGAACTCTGGTCTGTCTCCAGTTTTACTCTTGGAGGCAGGGTGGTCTGGGGGCAGGAGTCCGGCCCTGATGCTGCCTTTGGGGAATTACTTCCTGAGCCTCGAGTGCCTCACCAGCGGAGCGGCCACGAGGACACGTGAGTGCTCCCCAAATGCTGCGGTTATTGTTACTCTGATCAGCCCCTTAAAGCGAGGGCCTCTCTCCCTCCCATGCCAGGCACGTCCTCGACGTGTTTCCACGTCTCTGGAGCCGCCAGACGCCCCCAGCCCACCCTCGCTCTGTTGTCAGAGACTCTGGAGAAGGGCTGTTGACTGATATGATAATTTCGCCGTGGAGCTAAGTCAGTCACTGAGGATCTCCCGGGTCCCCTTCAGCTGAGCGAGCTTTCTGTAGGGCTAGGATCTAACAGACCCGCAGAGCTCCCAGACGCCCACTCCTGCACAGAAGGGGGACTTCTTAATAAGACAGTCTGCCTCAAATCGTTTGGAACAAGGCAGGCTGCGGTGATGTAAGGGATAATCGCAACGCTGCTGTTGGAGGATGTCCCGGGTGCTTTCCACGGACTCGTTACCGCTTGTCCTCGGCAATTCCCTGAAGCGTCGTCGCCCCCGGTTTAGAGGTGAGGATTCTGAGGCCTGGAGGCGAAGGGACGGGCTAAAGGACACACGACAGGCCTTTCATGGGGCGGGACTGGAACACAGGCCTGCCAGATCCTAGCCCCCAGGCTTGGTCACCGGCCCAAGCGGCCGCAACTTACCGGTCGATCGCTGTCCTAGGAAACGTCCCAACCAGCATTTGACTAACGGGATCAAGGCCCCCCCATGGGAGCCCCACCCGGACGGCATTCAGTAAGTAGCTCAGGCGCAGTGCACCTGATTTCTTCTCCCACCAGCAGGGGGCAAGACAGTGGTGAGTCTCCCTTGGATACTAAATGGGAAACTGAGGCTGAGAGAAGATGGGCTCGTCTGGAACACAACGTCCGGCGTCCTGAATGGCCAGCATCCACGGCCACGCTTCCCACGGACACGGCTCCCCTCTCCCCCTCCTGGGGACCCCCCACCCAACTGCGCACTGCCTGCGGGCGGAGGCGGCTGAGGCCTCGCTCACCTCTGCGGCCCCAGCAACTAACACGGTGCCCGAGGATCTAACAGGAGCTCAAGGGGTCTGCGGAAAGGGGTGAGTGAGTGAGCGGCTCCTCCAGTGGGCGAGAGCCCTCCAGGTGGTTAGGACCTGGCTGCCGTGGCCTCTCCGTGGTGGCTCTTGTCCCCCGGCTTCCCGGGGCGTCCGTGAAAGCCATCGAGCTGCACAGCTGGGTCTGGTTGACAGGTCCGCCTCCCGCCCCCGCTGATCTCTGCTTCCCTCCTCCCCGCCGCCTGGTGCCTGGTGCAGCGAAGCCGGGAAGTGTGAAAGGGAGGACGCACAGGTGGGCGGGTGGTGGGTGGACAGACAGGTGGACAGATGCCAGTGAGGTGGTGGGTGGGGAGACGGAGAAAACACCTCCCTTTCGGGTGGGGGGGATCGGTTTTGTTGCCTTGCCTGCAGGCAGCTCCAGACATCTGAGGATGGAGACTGAGCCAGGAGAAGGAAGCCGGGGCCCCAGGCAGCCCCGCCCACCAGTCGCACCCCACAGCCTGGGGCTCTGCCACCAGCATCTGGAACTCACCCCTTCCTCCCTCGGCCCCCTCCCTGCCTCGCCCCTTGCCCACAGCAATGGCCCCAGACCCCTATCCCGCACACGGTGAAGCCCTTCGCCTCCCTTCCCTCCCGGGTCGGCAGTGACAGGTGCCAAGGCTACCTGCCTCCATACCATTCCAGAGCGGGGACGGCAGCCTTGGCTTCAAAAACTGTTCGGAGGCGCCTGGGTGGCTCAGCCGCTTAAGTGTCTGACTTCAGCTCAGGTCACGATCTCGCGGTTCGGAGTTTGAGCCCCGCGTCGGACTCTCTGCCGTCAGCACGGAACCCACGTCAGATCCTCTGCCCCCCCCCCCTGCCCCTCCCCCTGCTCGCTCGCTCTCGCTCAAAATAAATAAATAAACTTCAAAGAGAAACTATTCAGGAAAGAAGCTCCCAAGAGCCCCTTCTCGGGCAAAAGAGAACTTTCCGGGATGATGGAAATAGCTGGACCTGTAGTGCGGGAGGCACACACCCCGTGGGGCTCTCCAAGACGCTTCTCCAAGACGCCCCACCCCGTGGGGCTTCTCCAAGAAACGTGGCCATGGGACTCAGGACCTGGATTTGTGATTTCGTTTCATTTTAATTAATTACACGAATAAAAAGCGACACGTGGCCAATGGCGAGTGCACCGGACGGCTCACTCTGGGGCCTGTGCCATGGCGGGGTCCCCCTGGTTCCGGAACAGCCCCACCTCCTGCCCTCGTGCCTCCGTCACACCTCAGAAAACAAAAAGTCAGCCCAAGCACTCACGTTCTGCTTGCCTTTTATTCCAGCATCTCCCAGAGCTCCAATATGTACAGACTTCATTTATACACATAATGTACACCATATATACGTATTTATATATATTCACACACCAGCCCACACGCTCTCATACACTCACACGCACACGCCCGTCCAGGAGAGGCGCGTGGCCGTCTCTGAGCCCCGCTCCGCCCGGACAAGAGGTGCTGGGCTTGCCAGGCAGTTGTGAGGTTTTGTGTTTGTTTTTTGCTTTTAAAAAGAAGGCCATTTCCTCCAGAGGTATCCTCTCCCCGCACCCAAACCCCTCCCCCAAAACTCTGAAATATTTTCTTTCTTTCCTTTTCTTTCTTTCCTTTCTTTATTTTCTTTTTCTTTCTTTCTTTCTTTCTTTCTTTCTTTCTTTCTTTCTTTTCTTTCTTTCCTTTCTTTCTTTCTTTCTTTTTTTTTTTTTTAAAGGAAGAGGTTCTCCTCTGCTCGGCCAAGGTAGTTCCGGGAGACCCAGGCCCATCCCCACGGTCCCTGGAAGGCGATCGGTGCTCCAGGGAGGCCCCGCATGACTGTCGGTCGCCACGCCCGCGGCTGCGCGCCCCCGGTGGGGGCTATAGCGTCAAGGGCACCTGCCAGATGAGGAGAGCGCTGTCCGTCTCCCCGCACGGGGCTGGCCTCCCGCTGCCGCCCGAGGCGCTGCCGAAGTTGCGGTAGCCTTGCCCCCCCGAGATGATGGCCACTGAGCAGATCTCCTTGCGGTGGGCGTCCCGGGCGCAGGGCCGGCTGCGCACCCAGACATCCGGGTCATCGGCCATCTCGTAGATGGAGCCGTCCTCCTCACTGTGCTCCAGGGCCGAGCCGTCGGCGGGCGCGGGCTCCCGCACGGACAGCAGCGGGCCCGGGAGGTGGGCCGTGGAGCGCAGGCGGTACTGAAGGAGGATGCCCTTCTTGCGGGTCAGCTCTCGGCCCACGCGGCTCGCGGGCGGGGGCTCGTGAGCCTGCCCGTCAGGCTTGTCCTCCTCCGCCCGCGGCCCTTCGGCCTCCTCCTGGTCGCTCCGCAGGATGTCGGGGGCCAAGATGCTGGTAGCCACGGCCAGGAAGGCCACAGGCCCGCAGTGACCGTTGAGCGACACCATGCCTTTCCCTGCAAGAGTGGGGCAGGGAGAAGGGGCCCAGAGGCCCAGCTTTGGAGGGGGCACCCAGACCTCTCTTGGAGAACGTTCTGGGTGGTGTTTTGGTTTTACTAACAGCAGTGGATGCTGGAGCCTCCGGGGGAGGGGCTCTCCCACACCCTAGGGCTATTTTCTGTGGAGGAGCGGGACAGGGGACGCAACGGGGGGGGGGGGGGGGGGGGGTGGCATCAGTGTGAAAGCGCCAGCCACACGTCTCCGAGCCGTTGGCTCCGCCCAGAGAACCTTCCCCACCCACCTGCCGCTCGAGCCCCTCCCGCCGCACCTCCTTCTTGACCCACCCACAGATCGCTGAGCGCCCGCGTCTCTGTGCCCCGCGGGCCCGGAACACCTGCCGGCGTAGCACCCGCCACCCCAGACCTCAGCTGCCTCCACCAGACTGTCAGCGCCCTGGGGGACAGGGTCTCTGTCCGATACGTCCTGGCAAACCCAAGGACTGACACCGGGGGGGGGGGGGGGGGGAGCAAAATGATCTCTGTGCTGGAAACAGGAGATCTTGGATTTAGGAAGAGACTCTTCCTTAGCCGGGAGGGCGGCTCAAGATCCGGCTGGGCTGGTCTACCCTCAGGGCTTCCCCCCTCCCCCTCCCCACCTCGGCCCTCCAGGGGCCCGGCCACTATTCAGGGGTCCCCACGAATCCTGAAGCCACAGGGGGAGGGGAGGACATAATTCCGCCGCGCCACAGCGCCACCTGTGGTGACAGAGGACATTGGAGAATGATGCCTAAACACCTGAGCATGAGACACGCCCTCCCCGGCCACCTGCAGCTGACTGTCCCAGGCCCTGCCCAGACGGGCTCCCAGAGCCTCACCTGTGATCTTGGGGATGCCTTCCAGCCGAGGCACAGGCAGCAGGACGATAACACCCTGGTCGGTGCCCACCCAGAGCAGACCCTGGCAGATCAGCAGGCTGGTGACACACAGGTGCTTTTGGCCTGCGGAGAGAGAAGCCAGCGTGAGCCGCACAGCCTCCCCCGGGAACGGCAGTGGGTTCTGGGGGCTTCGAGGTGAGGAAACGGCTCCTCCTGTGAGACCGGCAGGAAGCTGGATGGGGCTGTGGTCGGGACGTGGGCTTGGGAGGCTGACCTGGCTGGATCCCCTAGCTGAGTGCCCCTCTACCCAGCCTGTTTCCACCCAGGGAAAGTGGGACTGCCCGAGGAGGCAAGGGGGTTGAGCCACTGGCCGCGGAGCTGGCCCGTGGGGGCCCTCCGCGGCCAGGTGGGGAGCAAAGACAGGGTTTGAGGGCGACGCGGATGTTGGCGCACATGGGATGCCTGGGAAGGGAGCCGGCGTGGACGCAGAAGCGAGGCGAGTCGGCAGTCTGCCGCAGTCCCTCGGTCTCCAGCCCAGGCCTGTCCTTCCGCCCACGCGGGCCCTTCCCTGGGTGAAGGCACAGCGTACCCGGCAGCCCCTGGCCTGACGTGCCAGGAACCAGCATGTTACTGATGGCGGTCCAGATTAGCGCCTGACCGTCCCCCTGGTGCCGTCTCTTCGTTTCATCAAGAATGCGGTGGCAGGGACAGTGCGGGGATCCCTCTGCCCTTTACAGGCAGGAAGCGCAGCATGAGCCACGCCCCACAGTGGCCCAGAGCGGGGTCTCCAAGGCCAGGCGCTGGGCTCAAACCCGGGCTCTGCCTCTTCCCAGCTACGTGACCCAGGCCGGTCCCTAAACCCCTCTGCGCCGTGGCTCCCTCACCCGCAAGAGGTGACAATGACGATATTCCACAGCCTCGTCCTGAGGATGAAATGAGTCAATGACTGAGCAGAAACCACCTAACCCAGTGCCCGGCACACGGCACACACAGAAAGGCGCCTTCGGACGCTACTGCTGTTGCCCTGTTGACGACGACGGTCGCCGGAAGAGGGCACGAGGGACAGGCGGCACCGACGCCCCCCTGCCTTCCTAAAGGGCCGTCTTGCTTCTTGCCCGATTCCTCCCGCCCCCCTGAGAGGGGCCAGCTCTTCCCTAAAAGGAAATCCGAACTCATGCCACGTGCCATGGCGACAGCAATGCCACGCGGTGTGTGAAATGACGCTCGGAGCACCGGTTCGCGGCCTGGACGTGTCTCAGCACCAACAGCAGGGCCAGGAGGCCCCCAACTGCATTTCTGGCAAGTACCCGGGTGTCACTGATGCGTGCTGGTCCAGGGACCGCACTCTGGAGTTTCTAAAGCACACAGAAACCCGGTCTGGTCGGACGTAAGCCTTGCAGCGGCCTGGGACACGTGTGAGACACGGATGTTATGCCCGTTTTCCAGATGAGGACAGGAAAGCCCAATGAGGTCACCCAGCTGGTGAGTGCGGGGCAGGGGCAGGGCTCAGGTCTGCTGATTGCAGTCTGTGCCTCTGTTGCCTCTCCGCTCTTGAGCACATTACTGCGGTTCCACGCGGGTAAGGGTACGAACTTCCTATGCACGGCAAACAGCCTCCGAGCCGAACGGGGCGGCTCCCCAGGGTTACCATGTCGGGGTTCACGCGGCACCGTCTAACACAATGGACTCTACCATCACTGACCCACTCACTCGGCACTCCGGGACACCCCAAGCACCTACTACGCGCAGGACTCTGCACTCAGTGCTGGAGACACAGTGGGAGCCACACACGCGAAGTTCTGCTCTTGAGGAGCAAACACTCTAGGACTTTCTGTGATGATGCAAATGTTATGGATCACGCTGTTCGATGCGGCAGCCACTAGCCACAGGTGGCTCGTGGACACGGGCTATGTAGCTGGTGGGATTAAGGCACTGAATTTTTCATTTCATCCGGTTTTCATCATCATAGCGGCTACCGTATTAGCACAGTCTAGAGAGCGGAAAGAGGAAGTGAAGACATAAACCAGGAACATATAAATACCAGGCAGAGGATTCAGATGGGAGCATGGGGCAGGGAGAGAGTGGGCAGGAAGGTTCCTGAGCTTCCTGACTTACCCCCACATTCTGGAAGGATAGGGAAGCAGGCGTGGGGACGTGAGTTTCGAAGGACAAGGAGGAGGCAGCCACCCCGAGCCCTGAGCTAAGGCCTGGGGCACAGCACATGCAAAGGCCCTGTGGCAAGAATAAGAGGGTGGCAGGAGCAGACTACAGCCAGCGCAGCTCGGGGATCGGGAGGGGGGGTGGAGCTCAAGACAAGCAGAGAGCGGGTAGGCCAGGGTAAGAGCGGTGACTGTTCGTTCTGAAGTTACATTCTAGAAGCTACTGGAAGGTCTGAGCAGAGGCGTGGGTGGCCTGGCTTGGAGGAGCGAGCGCTTTGGCCTCAGTGTGGTGGAGGGCAGGGAGGGAGCAAGCAGACCAGCCAGGCAGAGATGTGGTGGCGAGACGCCGTGGTGGCCTGGAGGACGACAAGAAGCCAGCTCGTTCGAGATCCGGTCCGAAGTCGAATGGCAGAGAGCGGACAGGTGTCGAGGGCAACTCCGAGGTGTTTGGTCTCGAGCAGCCGGGCGCCTGGCAGTGCCTGGGACTCCGACGGGAGGGCGGGCCTGGGGTGGAAGTCCACGCTGCCTCCCGGATACGCGGACGCACATGGTGGGCCTGGCCACGCGACGCGAACGGAGTCCCACTCGCGGTGCTGATTCAACGCGGGAACGCACACCCCGGGAAGAAGAGCCGGGCCCGTCTCTGGACAACAAGGGCCGTTTCACGAACGGGTCTGGGTGTGTGCAAAGCTGGGGCTCCTGCCCACGCCCGCGTCAGCTCAAAACGTGCAGACACCAACCAGGAGGACGGGCTCCCGGCCGGCGGCGGGTGCTCCCAGCCCCTCCTCACCACCTGGCCCCCGCTCAGCCCTGGTCAGGGTCTCCATCGCCCCATCTTGCTCTCGCTCTCTCTCTCTCTCTCTCTCTCTCTCGCCGCTTGCTTTCGCAGATGGAAGCCTCGTGAGGGCAGCAGCTCATCTGCACACTCAGAGTTGAGTTGATTCCCCAGCTCGCGGCTCAAGCGCCCTCGGCTCGTGAACAAATGAACGAGCGAGAGCAGAATAGCGAAAAAGGACACGCGTGCGGGTGTCACGCACGGGGCGTGCGAAGTGACAAGTCATTTTCTTTCCCTTCTCTATCCGTGAGTATTATAAACCTGCCTCGCTCAGTTTTATGATTATTGGAAATACACGTGTCTGTATAATACACACACACAGTTGGGCGCAGCTCTTAGCCCAGAGTGTACAATCAATAAAAGGAGGCCATTAGGATAACGTCTGTGATTATTAAAAGGACCTAGACTCGTGGCTCAACATCAGCTCCATCAGAGCCATAAACCCACAAAAATAATTAAGCCCAGAGAGCGAGCAGTGGCAAATTTTTCATCTCGCTGCCTCACCTCCTGTTCCAGGGAACCCTGGGGCCGTGAGCCCAGCAAGAGACGGCTCCCCGATGCCCCCGCATCCTCGCGGCCCCCACTGGACAGCTGAGACCCAGCAGAAATGACTTCATCTGCGGACCTCATTCTAGGGCCCTTCCTCCTCCCCGTCTGCCTCGAGGAAAAGATCAAGACACTTCACAAACAGTCCGAAAGGAAAAAAAAAAAAATTCTAATGGTGGATAAATATTTTATCACAGAGACTTAATGCAGCAGTGTTCGACTCACCCAAGCCATCTATCTGGAGATATACAACTTTAAAAGGCTCAGGCTCTCGGAGAACATTTTATTAATGACCTGTCTAGTTAGGAGGAGGGGGGGAGTTTAGGTTCAAAAAATGCATTAATACCAGCCGGGTACACGAGAGGAAGAAAGGGGTCGGGGGAAGGAAGCGTGATAAATTTTTAACACGCCCTTAAAAAAGTCCACACTTAGAGGAGGAACAAATTTATTACTAATTATGCAATTATTTCATTTGGTGGTGTGGGGGAAGAAAAAAAAATACTTAAAAGCCTTTTAAAAATATTTCTAATAAAGAATTTACGAATCCTGCTCTGTTGTTCTTCCGCCAGGGGCACAGTGTGAAACGGGTCTGAAGCCGCCCTCTCCCTGGGGCAGCTCCGGCCCGGCTCTTCTGGGGTTTGGGGGGGTCCTGGCCCCAGCCCCAGGCTCCACGGTGTCACTGACTAGGAACGGTCAGGCCTGGCAGAGGAGGCCCAGGGCACTAACCCCTGGGGAAACTAAGCCTCCCCCCCCCCCCCCCCCCCCACATGTCCCAGGGCCCAGCCCCAGGGAGGTCTGGCCAGCGAGAGGTGGCTTCTGTCTGCTGGATGTAGCAGGTACAGCCGGAAGGACATGGGCTGGAGAGTGGGGGCGGAGCAGGGAGGCACCCTGGGATGTGCAGCCCACAGGGCGGGTACGGCGAGGGGCAGGGATGGCCACGAAGATGAGAACAAAGATGATGCCCCTGAATGACACCGCCGTGGACCAGGACTCACTCCAGCCAGAGACTATGGGGTGCCGTCCCTGCACCGCCTCAGGCAAGGCCCAACCTCCCTGGGAGGCAGGGACCGGGGATCCCAGGGGTTCCCCACCTGCCCCAGGTCACGGGGCTGGGCGGCAGCAGAGCCAGCCTGACTCCAGCTCTGGTCCGCCCTGTGCCCCACGGCCAGGCTCCGACTCAGATCTCGGCCCCTCCGTGTACAGATGGGGCAACTGAGGCCTGGGAATGGGGACGCTGCCCAGTAAGTCTCGGAGAGGCTGCAATTAGGGGCCTGGCTCCGGCCTCCTGGGCGTATGACCTTCCAGGAGGTCATTTAGGCTCCCGGGCCTCCGTTGACCTGGCCCTGACATAATCATAAGATAGCGAACGCCCTTCCTTCTTCAAAGGGTAACTGCGGAGAACAAGTAAGCCAGTGGGTGTGCAGATGCATTTTGAGCTCACGTGGTAAAGTCACAGTTGTGCCCGAGGGGGCTGCGGCTGTCCACCTGCATCCGGGTCTGCCCGCCAGTCCCGCCTCGGACGGCCTGACGGGCTGATTCTTTCTCTCCCCTCCTCTGCCCCCAGATGAAGCTGAGGAGATTTAAAAGGCCCACTTATTTTGTTGTTCCACTAACTTGAAGTAATTTAGCTATCAGCATAAATGTGGAAATATTTTTGTGATATAGAGAAACTTCTATCATAGGTAAAATAGATTTACCTTGTATAATGGCTAAATACTGTGAAATGCAATGAAACTGAAGGAGGGAAGGAAGGGGAGGGAGGAAGGAAAGGGAGGAAGGAAGAAAGGAAGGAAGGAAGGAAGGAAGGAAGGAAGGAAGGAAGGAAGGGAAGGAGGGAAGAACAGGCAAAGAGCCATAACCCAGGTCCCACAGAGCCCACACAGCACACCCTGGAAAGTGTATTATGGCCCTATTTATTCTCCTCACACACCTACCATGCTCCAAGCCCGTGCAAGGTGTCTTCCCATGCCTGAAGGCATTTATCCGGAGCCAGGAAGCCCTCTGTCTAGTCCCACAGACGGACCACAGACCAGCAGGCAGAGAGACCTGCCCAAGCCCCACAGTGGCCGAGCCAGGGCTCTGGCCACCTCTGAAACCATGTCTTCCCCGTTATACACCGTGGGACTCTCCCATAGACTCCCAGCCCTGCCTCTGGCCTGCCGCGTGACCACGGACAAGCCACTTCATGGGGTTACGGTGAGACGCGACCCTGTACGTAAAACACTTGGAACCCAGCTCACCGCAGGGTTTGTGGCAGGCTACTGCCACTGCTGAACGTGGAGCAAGCAACCACCACCCCCTGTCGCCACCAGGCCAGACTCAGGGACCATTGTTGTGCCTGGCCGGGAGGAAGCAGGATCTCTGGGGGTGATCTCTGGGTCCCCTGGCTGGGGTCAGGGACCAGGCCTCTGTGGTAAAACAGAGGCCCCCACGCGGCCCCTTAGGTTTTGGCTAACGTGCTTGTCCTTGGCCCAGCCTCACAGGACGGGGAGATCAGTCCCTCAGCTCAGCACACAGCCACTTCTGGCCTCCACACGGCCCATCTGCTGAGTCCTTGTAACAATTAGCTCCCCACCTGCCATGCCGGGCCCGTGTCCCTGGCCCCAGGGCCCCTCGGCTCTCCCAGCTGCCAAACCTAGCCCAGTTTGGACAGGATGGAGCCTCTACATCCTCCCAGACCAGTCTATTTGTCTCCTGGGGGCTGGGCCAAGCTCTAAAGCCAGCCCGGGGGTAGGAACGGGCCCTGAGCAGGTGTCTGCCCTGGTTCCCACCGGCACGGCCTGCAGGGTCTGGGCAGCACCTTGGACAGCAGACGGTAAGGGCGCTGCCTGGAGCCGATTCCACAGAGGCAGATGAGGGAGGAGCAGGGTATTAGGCGAGCTCCAACCTTACTCCTCTCCACTGAGCATCACCAGTAGCTCTGCAGGAGGAAGCAGGGCCCCAAGGGGATGACGTCCAAGCCCTTCGCCCTCCGCCTGCCCCCAAAGCCCAACCAGCAAACTAAGAGAGACAGCTGCCTTTCTTAGAAAAACCTCTAAAGAAATAGACCCCTGTCGGCCTTCTCTCTTGCCCCTCGCCTCATGTTCCGAACGTGATGGGAGGCAGAACTGGGTGTCTGGTCAACCTGAGGGGCGGCAGGTGTAGACGGGCCTGGGTTCCCACCCAGTAGGGCTTTTTAGCAGCTTCCTGATCTGGAAGTCTGCTGAATTTGGAGCCTCATTTCCCACGAGGGGTGAGAGGGAAGAGCGACGGCAGCAAGAGAGGTTTTGGAACGATGCCCTGAGTTCGAATCCCGACCCTGCTGCCTCCCCTCTCGAAGGCCCAGTTTTTGATGCCGGCCAAACACTCCTATGAGGGTTAACAACATGGGCTGACCAGGAGGCACCTCCGCCTGGCCACGGAAGATGCTGCACGGATATCAGCATCTTCCCCGCACAGGCCCAGGACAGCAGGGCGCGATGCCCAACAGCAGCCTCACCCGGCAGGAGGAAGGTGGTCCTGGTGGCGATGTTGATCTCCTGCAGATGCTCCAGTGTCTCAGTGTGGAAGAGGCGGATGGAGGAACCAGAGGAGAAGGCCATCCAGACGCCGCTACCCGCCTTCACCATGTGCGTCACACTCACGGCCTCGTCCTGATGCGCCTCGAAGCTTTGCTGTGGCACAGAGAGAAGGGTGTTGGTGCTGGGCTGGGCCTGCCAGCTGAGCCTCGGGAGGCCAAGCTAACTAACCCAGCCTCTGCCTGAACCAGACTCAGGGCTAGAAGGGACCCTCAGAAGCCTAGCAGTGAGTAGTGTGCTGGAAAGTGTTTAACTACTGGTGGGGAATCCTGGTTTGCCCTGTCTGCCGATTCCCATGGTGTAAATATTTCCAACATGGGCCATCTCAAGCTACCCACATGACATCAATGAACAAGGAACTAGGAAAGGGATAACAGACCAAGCTCTAGCATGCCCCTGTGACACAAGGGAAAGTCAGGGCCAAAAGGCGACACAAGAGGAAGTGGCATCTTATGAATATCATCTAGACTTACAAAGGCAACAAACGGAACAATCGGGAAAGGGAGGTGGGTCGTGTGAGTCAAATCCTAATCCTTTACATCTCTGCATCCGAATCTTTGCATCTGTGGGGATGCAACACATAATGTCCAAAAATTGATGAGAAACAGCAGGGAGCGGGGTTCAAAATGGTGAAGCAGCAAGATCCTGACCTCACCTCCTCCCACGGACACAATTATCTACACATACTCGTGGAATAATTCCCTCTGAAAGGAACCTGGAAACTGAATGAACTGAGCCTCCACAAGAAATATAAAAGGATGGTGTCGAGACCAGATGAGAGGCAGAGACACCGACGCACCAGAGGAAAAAACCCAGCCGTGGCGAGTCACAATCAAGAGGGATATCAAAGGTAGAGAACTTCCCTGAGGAATGAGGAATTCAAGCTCTACATCAGGCACCCCAACCCTTGGACCCTGCACAGGAGAGATGAGCCCCCAAAACACCAGGCTTTGAAAATCAATGGGGATTATATTCAGAGACTCTAGAAAACCGGAAGGAACAGGAAACTTGCTCTTAAGGGGCTTGCACACACTCACTCAACCCGGAAACCAGTTGAAAACGCCAATTTGAAAAAAAGCATACGCCACTGATAAAGAAGATCCATTTACTACAAACCTTAGAGGGTCTGCCACAGTGGCAGAAAACAGCAGGGGCTCTGCCCACGCACTGAGACCCTGGTAGGAGCCCTTTTGTCCATCTCAGCCTATCTTACTAAGAATGGTACTGGTGGGCGCCATTTTGGAATTCTCCCTGTAACCTCCTAGTGCCAGTGGGTGTACTCCACTGAGAACCTTGTCCACCAATGTGCCCCAGTAGACGTGGACATGCCCACAGCCAGGCCAGGAGCCAGCCCCACCTACCAATGTGTCACAGCCACAGTCCCACCACAACAGGAGGGCACACACAGCCCACAGAGGGGACAGCCCTTGAGCACCTGGCTCTGGAGACCAAGAAGTTTCCACTTCTGGGTCCCATACATCCTCCCCTACATAAGGCCATTCATTTGAGACTGGGAGAGGTCAGTGATTTACCTAAATACATACAGAAAAACACAGAGTAAGGCAAAATGAAGAGACAGAGGAATATGTTCCAAATTAAAAAAAAAAAAAAGACAAAACCTTAAAGAGAGAACTAAATGAAACAGAGATAAGCAATCTACTTGATAAAGAGTTCAAAGTGATGGTCATCAAGATGCTCCCTAAATTCAGGAGAAGGATGGATGAATACAGGGAGAACTTCAACACAGAGAGAGAAAAATAAAAGAAAATACCAAACGGAAATTATAACTGAACTGAAAAATACACGAGAGCAGTCCAACAGCAGACTGGATGAAATACAACAAATCAGCAAGCTGGAAAATAAAGCAATGAAAAACACCCAGGCAGAGCAGCAAAAGGAAAAAATAATTAAGTAAAGTGAGGACACCTGAAGCGACCTTTGGGCCAACATCAAGTGGAATGACATTCACATTATGGGGATCCCAGAAGGCGAAGGGAGAGGGAAAGAGCCAGAAAAAAAGAAATAATGACTGAAAACTCCCCTAACCTGGGGAGGGAATCAGACATCTGGATCCAAGAAACCCGGAGAGTTCTAAACCGCATGAACTCGAAGAGAACCACACCAAGATACCCTGTAATTAAGATGGTAAAAGTTAAAGGAAGAGTCCTGAAAGCGGCAAAGGAAAAACTTGTCAAGTACAAGGAAAACCCCACAAGGCTATCAGCAGATTTCTCAACAGAAACTTTCCAGGTCAGAAACGAGCGGCCTGACACATTTAAAGTGCTGAAAGGAAGAATCTCCCAACCAAGAATTCTCTAGCCCAACAAGGTTACCATTCAGAATTGAAGGAGACATTAAGAGCTTTTCAGATAAGCAAATGCTAAAGGAGTTCTTCACTACCAAACCAGTTCTACAAATACTGCTAAAGGGACTCCTTCAAGCTTAAAAGAAATGGCACTAATCGATAATAAGAAAACATACAAAAGTAAAAATCTCACTGGAATAGGTAAATGTACAGCAAAGGTAATGAGCCAATCACTTCTACAGCAAGCATAAAGATGAAAAAATGTAGGGCCGTCTGAGTGGCTCAGTTGGTTAAGCGTCCAACTTCGGCTCAGGTCACGATCTCGCGGTCCGTGAGTTCGAGCCCCGCATCGGGCTCTGGGCTGACGGCTCGGAGCCTGGAGCCTGCTTCCGATTCCGTGTCTCCCTCCCTCAGCCCCTCCCTTGCTCACGCTCTGTCTCTGTCTCTCAAAAATAAGTAAGAGTGTTTGAAAAAAAATTTTTTTAAAGATGAAAAGATGGAAGTACTAAAATTAACTAAAATCACAATAATTCATTGAGGGGAAAAGCATGAAACAAAAAAATATAAAATGTGTCATCAAACATAAAACATCAAGGGTGGGGAGTAGAAAGGTAAAGCTTTAGAATCTGTTTAAAATTACACTGTTATCAACTTAAAACAGACTGCTGTTGCCATAGGAGATTTTACATGAACCTCAAGGTAAGCACAAGGAAAAACTTCTAGTAAATACCCAAAAGAAAATGAGAAAGGAACCTAAACATAACAGGAGAAAACCATCAAACCACAAGGGAAGAGAGCAAAAGAAGAAAGGGACAGACTGGCAACTATAAAAACAGCCAGAACACAATTAACAAAATAGCAGTAAGTATACACTTCTCAACAATTACTTCAAATGTAAATGGACTGAAAGCTCCAATCAAAAGCCAGAGGGCGGCTGAATGGATACACAGCAAGACCCATCTCTACACTCCCTACGAAGGACTCACTTTGAAGTAAGGACACACACAGACTGAGAGCAAAAGGATGGAAACAGATATTCCGTGCACAGGGGAATGAAGAGAAATTTGGGGTAGTGATACTTACACAAAGTAGAGTTGCAAACCAAGCCCGTAGTAGACGACAAAGAGGGGCACTACGCAAATGATAAAGAGGTCAATCCCGAGGGAGATGTAATTTTTATTAACATATATGCATCCAACATGGAGCACCAAAATATAGAAAGCAAATCTTAACGGACCTAAACGGAGAAATTGACAGCAACCCAATAATAGTCAGAGACTTTACTACTCCACTTTCCTCAGTGGACAGATCATCCAAACCAAACAAAAAAATCAATAAGGAAACATCGGCCTTAAATGACACATTAGACCAGATGGACTTAACAGGTATATAGAGAACTTCTCGCCCCAAAGCAGCAGAATACACATTCTTCTTCGCAAGGGCACAGGGAACATTTTCCAGGGTAGATCACATGCTGGGCACAAAAGAAGTCTCAGTAGATTCAAGAAAATTGACATTTTATCAAGCACCTTTTCTAGCCACAGTGGTATGAAACCACAAATTAATTATAAGAAGAAAATGAGAAAAACCACAAGTTAGGAAGACGAAAAAACTATGCTACTGAACAATCAACAGGTCAAAAAAGAAATCAGAGAGGAAATTTTAAAGAATACCTAGAACACTTCTCCAAAGAAGACACCCAGATGGCCAACAGGCACGTGAAACGATGCTCGACGTCGCTCATCATCAGGGAAATATAAACCAGAGCCACACTGAGATACCACCTCACACCAGTCAGAGTGGCTAAAATGAACAAATCAGGAAACTACAGATGCTGGCGAGGATGTGGAGAAAGGGGAACCCTCTTGCACAGTTGGTGGGAATGCACACTGGTGCAGCCACTCTGGAAAACAGTGTGGAGGTTCCTCAAAAAATTAAAAATGGAACTACCCTACGAGCGAGCAATGGCACTGCTAGGAATTTACCCAAGGGATACAGGAGCGCTGATGCATAGGGGCACATGTACCCCTATGGGTTTTTTTCAATTTTTTTAATGTTTGTTTATTTTTGAGAAAGAGAGACACAGAGCATGAGCAGGGGAGGGGCAGAGAGAGGTGGGGAGCAGACTCCAGGCTCTGAGCTGTCAGCACAGAGCCCGACGCGGGGCTCAAACCCACGAACCGCGAGATCATCAGCTGAGCTGAAGTTGGTTGCCTGACCAACTGAGCCACCCAGGTGCCCCACTAGAAAGGAGATTTTAACAGCAATCAAAAACCTCCCAACAAACAAAAGTCCAGGACCAGGAGGCTTCCCTGGTGAGTTCTACCAACATTCAAAGAAGATTTAAGGCCTACCTTTCCCAAATTCCTCCAAACACTTAAAGGGAGGAAAGCATCCAAACATATTTTACAAGGTCAGCATCACCCCACCAGACGTGGACACCACACAAAGCAAGAAAATTACAGGCCAATGCCCTTGATGAACGTAGATGCAAAAATCCTCAACAAAACATTAGCCAGCTGAATCCGACAGTACATTAAAAGGGCCATACACCGTGACCAGGTAGAATTTACTCCAGGCATACAAGGATGTTCAACATCTGCCAATCAATTCATGTGATACAGCACATTAGCAAAATGAAAGATCAAAATCATAAGCCTTTGGCAAAACGCAACATCCATTTATGATGTTGAAAAACTCTCAAAACAAGGTGGGTACAAGGGAATGTACCTCAACCTATATGTGACAGTCCTACAGCTGATAGCATCCTCAATGGAGAAAAGCTAAAAGC